TTAGATAGAAAACCAAACAACAGAAAAATCAATAGAAAGTATTGATCGAAAGGGTGCCCCTGAGAACTGGGAAACCAGGTTTGAATCTTGATTGACTTGATTAAAAACTCTCCCAATGACTACCCTCTTCTGCTTCCCTAGACGTCCCTACTCCACCCCTATTCTCTCATAGTCAGCCTAGTGCCACAAGAGACTCTAGGTAGACACTACACAGGCTAGAGCTGAGACTCAAAGTGAAGCAGAGAAGGCAGCAGTGAAAGTATAGCACAATCCATGGCTGTCCAGATCTGAGCTTTGATGGTCAGAACCAAAAGAAAAAAAGCCAAGCAAATCCTGTAGGATATCATTAGATAACATTAATAAAGTCTGTCATAAAATAAGGAGACCAGTGGCTCAGCTGATAAGATATTGAGATTCTTAATCTTAGTGTAGTATACTGTATTTGTGCCAGGCACTAGGCACAAACTTTAGTTTGGAAAGCCATAGTACAGTATAATGGTTAAGATCTCAAACTTTGGAGAAAGACCAGTTGAGTTTAAATCCTTTTTCTACACATATCAACTATGTGACTATGAACAAACTGCCCTCTCAGTCTAGGCCTATTAAATATAATATATACCTTTTAAGTCCAAGGTCCTGAGTTCAATCCCCAGTGCCACAAAAAAATAAATAAAATAAATATATATATTAAAATATATAAATACAATCTCATAGGGATCCTAACCCTGGCAGGATTAAAGAAGATAACGTGATCAGAACAGAACTGAGGGCTCGGTGGAAAGCTATTGTTAGAATTATTAAAAATTACTCTCCAACTCCACAACTGCAGAGAGGAGACCTATAGTGTCAAGAGTATGAAAGTTAATAGAGATCCCTGTACATTTCATAGCTGTTGACTATACCATGTGATAACTATACCATGTAATGGCAGAGACCAAAACTTTCTATAAACATAAAGGAAATGACTTTGATGTGAAAAATTACAATTAAATATTTTATTGTGAAGTTTTCCTTCAATACCTCTGACAAGTCCTAACTATAGACAAACACAAAAGGGGCAATGCCAAAATAAGGAGAAAATCCAAACAGAATGAATTAAAATGAATATTTATAAAAATAAATCGGCCTTACAAGCTGAAGTATTAAATAACAAAACTTAATGACAACAAGGAATAGATATTCCAACATAAATTTCCAAATTAATTGAAATTCAATTATTTGAATCTGTTAAAATTACAGTATAAGATAAAACAATCTAAAAGTTACAGAGAATCATTTTTTAAAACTTTCACTTTCCACACATAAAAATCTTTACATAAAACACTGGCTTTTGTAATTGACAAGAAAGTAGATGCCAATTCCTAAATAAGAACTGGAGTGACAGGAGAAACTCTCAAAGGTATAACATCCATGAGTATGAGCTCTGATCTAAGCATGTCTTCACTAACTCCTTTTTATTTCCACTTTGTGAAAGAGGGATGGAAATGGAGACTGCTATTCGTGCCTACTTTGTTCTACACCATCAAACCCAGTGCCAGAAATAACAAAGTAAAAATCATTCATAACTGCTCAAAACTTTAAAGTCCAAATAGGAAAACTAACTTCCTAACATATATTTGGCTTTTATGTTGGAGAACATACAATGACTACTATATATTATAGTACAATCCAATAATCACTTAAGCAGATTCTTAAATTGCCTGCTTTTGAAACTTGGCTCAATTATCAGCTGAGGATGTAAGGGTGATCTGGCTGTGACATTTGTCACTCCACTGATTGTCAGGGTTGATTCAGCTGAGCTGGTTGGCTAGGTGGGTGTCCCCTTCCTCCCTCACCGCTCCATGTGTGTCCCTCCCAAAGCTGTGTGCTCAGTCAAAGAGGATGACCACCCATGCTAAAGGACTGTTTCCTCAGGCAAGGGTATACAAGTAGCTGTGCTTCCCTGCTAGGACCTCCAAACAGGCTCTCAATTATCAGCTGAGTGGCCTGGGCAGTTACTTTGCCCTTCCATGCCTTAGTTTCCTCACTCTAAAATAGAGACATGACATCTTCCTTGCAGGACTATGACAGTTTAAGACACCATCTTAGTTATTTTGTTGTTGTTGTTGCTGTTGAGACAAAATACTTAGCACCCAAAGTTAAAGGAGGAAAGGTTTATTTTGACTCATAGTTTGCAGAGGTTTTAGTCTATAATCAGCTGGCTCCAAAGCAGGGTGGCATGGCAGACAGACACCAAAGAAGAGATACAATTTATGGTGGGCAGAAGGTAGCAAAGTAAGGGAACTTAGCAGCTTTTTCTGCCCATTAATACTCTACCTAGGTTACCAGGATTAGGGCAGTGCCAAATCAATGAGTGGACTGATTTAGCAGTCATATACCCTTAATTCAAGCATCACACACTCTAGATCCAGCCACCTCTAAAAAAGACACTTAGGTAAATGCCTCACAAATAAAATGTACACAATAAATAGTAGCTCTCATTATTACAGCGGAAGTATAAATAATGAAGAAATTTTCATCAATAAGCAAAAATCTAAAATTAATGTGCTAAGTCAAGCATATCAACTATTAAACCTGTATGTTTAGGTTTATGCATTTAATGAAGTGCAATGTAATCTAGAATACAATTTCAGGTATTAAACACAGTCTTCATTCCTCTCCGTCTTGGACCAATTATTCCTCACTCCAGCTGAAGCCTATACATGTCATTCAATCAATTTAACTTCTATGAGTTAAATTCCTATCCTTAAAGATACAAAAAAAGGTAAAGCATTTCTAAATTTGGCAAAGCAACCATTGGTACAAAAGTACAGTAAACCAGCTTCAGGAGGCTGAGGCAGGAGCACCACAAATTGGAGCCTACCTAGCATGGGCAACTTACCAAGACCCTGTCTCAAAATTTAAAATTTTTAAAAATGCCTGGGGATGTAGCTCAGTGGTAGAGTGACTTTGGGTCAGATTCTTAGTACAAGAAGGAGGAGAAGTACAGTAGAATGCATGTAGGGTAAGTAAAGCTCTAAAATTCTCAAGAGAAAATCAAGCAGACTGTGAGTCAGGATGGAAGAGATGAAATTTTAAAAAGGAAAGGAAAATGTGAGAAGAGGAGAAAGATGAGACTTCAGAGAGCTGTGAAAATTTGGATATTCTTTTTTTTTTTGGTACCGGAGATCAAACTTGGGACCTTGAGCTTTTGAGGCAGGCAGCGGAACCACTGAGCTAAATCCCTGGCCCCTGGATATTCTTTTTTTCCCCCTTGCTCTAAGAATTTTTCTCACATATAACATATAAAAGTAAATCCCTGCCAGGCATGGTGGTACATGGCTGTAATCTCAGCACCAGGAGTCTGAAGCAAGAACACTTGAGCTCAGAAGCTTGAGGCCAGCCCTGGGCAGCATAGTGAGACCATCAAATTAGAAGGGATAAAAAAGCAAACCACTGCGATATTTCAAACATGTGTATTTTTTGCAATATTCGCTTTATGAAATGCTTGCCAGTGCTCTTAGTCATTTTAAAAAGCACTTAAGAGTTAAAAGGAAACACAAAAATAAATATGACATTACTGTTATTTGTGGGTAATGTTCTTTCCCTGTTATCAACAGGCCATCCACTTGTGAGAGTTTTTCTAGAGTCAGAGAGAGAAAGAGACAGAAACCCACCAACCACTCTTCCGTTTCTACTAAGAAAAAACAGAGTGTGGTGGTGCACACCTGTAATCCCAACATTCTGGGAGGGGGAGGCAGGAGGATTACAAATTTAAACGCAGCCTGTGCAATGTAGGGAGCCCTATCTCAAAATTTTAAAACTCTGGGGATGCAGTTCAGTGCAAAGACCTTCGTTTCGACTCTCATATCAAAAAACAGAAAAAGAAAAGAGAAGGAAAAGAATAAAGACCGACCGACTCAGGTCCACTCAGGGTTCCAAATGCTTTAAGTCTTCTCTCCAAAAGGCGACCTGCACATTGGGAATACCCTGCATTTTCAACTCATCAGCACTTTAACCCTGCAGCTAAGCTCATCTCCTGGTACCAAACGACTCATGGCTTAAAACAAACGAAAAGCCCACTCACCTCTTAAACGTAGGCATTTCCCTATTGCCTCCTCAAATATTTTATATAATGGTTGTTTCCCCAGAAGGAAGTCCAGTTCCTCTCCTCTTTCACACTCCTTGGAGGTCTCTGGAAAAATCATACCTCTGGCAATACCCTGAACCTTTCCTATTCAAGCCAACACTTCAGTCGTCTTCAAGTGAGGCTTCCAAAACGAGCTTCGTGGAGCCAGGTGATAAGCGCACGACCTCTCAAGTTAATCGAACAAAGGTAATAACTTAACGACGTTTAGAATTCACTAACCAATAAAGAACGAAATCCCTTAAGGAGGGTGCTGCACTCAGGAAAACCTTCCAGCTCAATATCCCCTAGTTTTTACAAAAGGAAGTAATGGGCGTCCCTCCAAAACTACAAATTTAAATTTCTACATGCTATAGAAATCCTATCAGAATTATGCATTTAAAACATACATGTGTATTTAACCTATAGTTGCATACAAACAACACTAGGCACACAGAGTAAACAGGAATATACATGACATTCACGTATTTTTAGCCAAACCCTCCCTGGTTGCTTCCCAGGCTCAACAGGGCCGAAGAGCGTCACGCCGTCCGGCGCCCCGCACCCGCACCCGCACGTCCCACTGCACGGAGCGCTAAGTCCCGGCGGCCCGGCACGCTGGCGCTGGGGACCCTAAGGCTCCCTCCCCTGCCCGTTCCCGCCCGGGCCCGCCCCGCCCAGCCTGCCCCGCCCAGCCTGCCCCGCCCAGCCTGCCTCGCCCAGCCTGCCTCGCCCAGCCCCGCCCCGCCCCGCCCCGCCCCGCCTTCCCTCAGGCCGCAGCTGGGCTTCCCCTCGACCCTGGCGCTGTCCGCCCGACCCCAGTGGGCAGCAGCGCAAGGACCTGCTCGGGTCGCGAAGGGCGAGGCTGCCAGGCCGACTCGAGACCCAGACTCACCATGGCCGAAGAGCGGCGAGTGCGCCCACAGCCCCGAGTCACACGGCGCCGGCGACGCCCGTTGTCCTGGTGACGCCAGCCCGGCGCCCCGCCCCGAGCTCAAGGTGGGCTCGGAGGAGGCCATTGGCGTCCAGCGAGCACGTGACCCGCAGGGGCGGTGCCCTTTGGACCGCCCATCCCTCGCCCCCCACGCCGCTCGGGGGAGGGCCCGCTTTCCTCGCGTCTGTCCTCAGACTGATCGCTTTGCTGCTGCTCACCTGGCAGGTGACCAACTGCAGACCAGCCCATCTGAAAGAGACCTTCACAGATTTTCCTTATTTACAATACAGGCTACACTTGTAATACATGATTATTGAGGACATTGTAGATTACCAATAATAAGGATTTTTAAAAACACTTTAAATACTAGCACCTGAGTAGCCACTGTTCCTATTCCAGTTTACTTCCAAGCTTCCAATGATATTGTATTCTTAAAAATGGAGGGTAAGCAATATTTTATAATCTGCTTTTTTTCAATTAAAATTATTATCATGAACCGGGCACTGTGATGTTCACCTGTAATCTCAGCAACTTGGCAGCCTGAAGCAGGAGAATCCCTTCAGCCCAGCAGTTCAAAGCCAACCTGAGCAACATAAAGAAATCTTGATTTAAAACAAAACAAAACTTGGGCTGGGGATTTAGCTCAGTGGTTCTGCCGCCTGCCTCGCAAGCATAAGATCCTGAGTTCGAGCCCCAATACCAAAAAAAAAAAGCAAAACAGAATTATTATATTTACATACCAATTAATAAAAAAGCATCATATATATGTGTGTATATATTCTCTAATTCATTGAATCAATCAATTTGTTGAGTGGGGGAAAGCATTTAAGAACCAAACCATAATATCCTCCCCCAAAAAACAAAAAACACACATCAGAAACTTGCACTTAATCTGAAGAAGAAAAAAATCTAAGAATTTCTAGCTAAAGGAATATAAGAACAAATATTTATTTTTTTCTGAAATCCATCTCTATATTGCTTTTTGGAAATATTTCCTTAACTTTTTTGGCTGTACTGATTAAAATGCATTTTACAGTTAATGAAAAACTGAAGCTGAAATAAATGAACGAGTCTTTTCAAGGCGACAAGCACAAGAAGAGGCAGTGCTGACTCACAAGACTCGAAGTCAAATCGGACCCCCCCCCCCAGTCTGTCTCACGGTGTTCCTCCTAACCACCCCCCAACCCCAACCCCGTCCTCCTGGCTGAAGTTCAGTGGAGATTTTGCACCACCTTGTTGAGGCTGCATCAGTTTTCAACTCATTTGTGTAAAATACCAAGAGACACAATTGCTAGGCTGTGTGATAAGAATTGTTTAGTTTGATAGGAAACTGCCAGACGATCTTCCAAAGTGAGTGTAGCAGTTTGTGTTCCCACCAGCAGTGAATGAGAGCTCCTTTTGCTCTACATTCTCACCAGCATTTGATGTTGTCAGTATTTTGGATTTCAGCCATTCTAATGGTCCATCATGGTATCTTGTTCTAATTTGCAATTCCTTACTGACATATGGTACTGAGTATCTTTTCATACACTTATTTGCCATCTGTAGGTCTACTTGGCTGATTCAGATCCTTTGCTCGTTATTTAATTGGTATTTGTTTTCTTATTGTTGAGTTCCTAGAGTTTTATGGTATGTGTTGGATACAAGGGCTTTATCAGATATGTTTTACAAATATATTCTCCCAGTTTGTGGCTTGCTATTTGCTCTGTTTCATTTGGGGTACTGGGGATTGAACCCAGGAAAGCTCTACCACTGAGTTATACCCCTAGCCCTTTTTATTTATTTTTATTTTGAGACAGGATCCTACTAAGTTTCCTGGGCCTGCAATCCTCCTGCCTCGGCCTTTTGAGTAACTAAGATTACAGATGTTTGCCACTGGAGGTGGCTCATCTTTTCTTTCCATTAAGCTGCCTTTGTATTTACTATTTTTCCTTCAACATTAGTTAGGCTTGACTACTTCTTCTAGCTTATCCTATTTAATTTCAACTATTTCGCTTTTTTACGTAAAGCATTAATGACTACAAATTTCCCACTAAGTTTGTACAGCTGACTCCCACAGTTTTCATAGGTATACTTTCATTGTTTAATTCCATTTTGTTGTTTTATTCCATTGTTTTATTTCCGTTTTGATTCCCCTTTTAAACCATGATTGATTCAAGTCTACCTTTTAGTTTTCTAAGGTATAACTACTTTTTTGTCATTTGTCTGATTTTATTGTACTGTGGTTAGGGAATATAGTCAATAGGGTACTGGTTTTTTAAAGAATGTTGAAGTCAGGCATGGTGGCACAGTTTGTGGGAGACTGGGGCAAGAGGACCCCAAGTTCAAGCTCAGCCTGGGCAATTTTGTGACTTAAGTAGACAAAATACATAAGAAATAAAGGCACAAGATAAGATATAAAGGCACACCTGTAATCCCAGCACTCTAGAAACTGAGGCAGAAAGATTGCCAAAAGTTTGAAGCCAGCCTGGGCTATGCAATGAGTTCAAGACCAGCTTGGAACACATAGCAATACCGTGTCTCAAAAAAATCAAAATAAGGGCTGAAGATGGAGCTCAGTGGCACATGCATGCCTGGGAAGCACAAGGTCCTGAGTTTGATCCCTGGTACCAAAAAAAAAAAAAAAAAATCAAAATAAGAAATAAAACAGGGCTGAAGTCAATGAGAAGGCCTTTAGTACAATCTTCAGTACCATCTTCAGTACCACCCAAAAAAATTAAAATTAAAAAAGACAAAGACTATCAAGCAACAACATTGAAGTCCTTATATGATTAATTTTGGGCAATGATGTCATGCAGCTTGGAGGGCACTACTTATATTTTGTGTGCCTGACACCTTTTACAGTTGCACAGTATACTAGCTTTGTGGCTATCCATGGTAGCCCTTCCTGACTTGAATGAATTTTTTGTGTGTTTGGAAAAAAATGTGGTGGAGCCTGATGTAAACACCAGAGCCCGTACCAAAGCCTGGAAGGTCAGAAAGCTGGGCCTGGGGCTTACCAACTGCTGGAGCAGGGCAGGGGTTAGGGTCATGTGGAGGTCAGGGGAGAAATCCTGAACCATGACTCAGCAGCCACTTTGAGGGATCACCAGCCTGCATTTCAACCAAGGCCAAAGCTGCTTTTGCTGTGCCATGGAGACAGGTGTGTGCATCTACAATGTAGAGCCACTGATGAAGAGGTATCTGGACCACGAGCAGGTGGACAGCACAGGCCTGGTAGAGATGCTGCACAACTCCAACCAGCTGGCCCTGGTGGGTGGTGGTAGCAGTCCCAAGCTCTCAGAGATCTCAGTGCGGATATAGGATGATGCCCAGGAAGGCAAGGACTCCCAGGGCAAGCTGGTGCTGGAACTCACCTTCACCACTCCAGTGCTGCCTGTGCACATGCGCCATGACAAGATTGTGATCATGCTGAGGAACTGCATCAGTGTGTACTCCTTCCCAGACGATCCCAAAAGCTGTTTGAGTTTGACACCTGGGACAACCCCAAGGGGCTCTGTGATCTCTGTCCCAGCCCAGAGAAGCAACTGCTTGTGATTCCAGGGCACAAGTGTGGAAGTCTACAACTTGTGGACCTGGCGAGCACAAAGTCTGGCACCTCATCTGCTCCATTCACTATCAATGCACAGCAAAGTGATGTGACCAATGTGGCCTATGTGTCCCTGAACCAGCCAGGCACTGTAGTGGCCTCGGCTTCCCAGAAGGGAACCTTCAGAGGGTACCTCACAAACACCTCATAAAGGTAGGCAAAGAAAATTATGACGTCCTGCTAGGGATTTAGCTCAGTGGTTCTGCCACCTGCCTCGCAAGAGCAAGGACCCGAGTTCGATCCCCGGTACAAAAAAAAAAAAAGAAAGAAAGAAAATTGTGACGTCCTGAATTCCAAGTCTCCAGAGCTTGGAAAGAAACCATTCATTCAAAAATACAGAGGAGGGCCAGGGATTTAGCTCAGTGATTCCGTCACCTGCCTCACAAGCACAAGGTTCTGAGTTTGATCCCCGGTACCAAAAAAAAAAAAAAAAAAAAAAAAAGAGGAAGCTGGGTGTGGTGACTCATGCCTGTAATCCCAGCACTCAGGAGGCTGAGGCAGGAGGAATGGGGCAAGTTCAACGCCAGCCTGGGCTACATAGTAAATTCAAGTCCAGCCTGGAATACATAGCAAGACCTTGTCTCAAAAAAAAAAAAAAAGAATTTTTTATTATCTCAATTTTTTTCTTTCTTTTCCTTCTTTGGCTTTTTGGGGTTTGTGGTTTGTTTCTTCCCTACTGTTTGACTGAATGAGTTATTTGTCTCATTTTTCTCTCTTCTTGTTTGAAAGATTCACATGTTCTGTCTTTGAACTTTCAACAATAGCAATTACTCGTTTGTTTGTTTATTTATTTATTTTTGAAACAGGCTCTCTGTGGTTCAGGTTGGTCTTGAACTTGCTATGTAGGCCAGGCTTGCCTCAATACATGAATCTCCTACCTCGGCCTCCCAAATGCTGGGATCACAGATATGTAATCACTCTTAACATTTTAAGATAAATATGCAACTATATTTTTCTGTTAGGCAAGTCACTGGTCACTCTAGCTTTCTCTCAAACAAAACAAGACCTTTAATATACTTTTCATTTCTTTATATCCTTAACTCTTAGCCTATATTATTTTTTGGATTTTTGTTTAATTTGCAGTCTTGAGGATGGAACCCAGGGCCTCATCCATGCTAGCCAAACACTCTGTCACTGAGTTATATCCCTAGCCCTTTCTTAAAAATTTTTTCTGCTCCATTCCTACTTTCCTTATTGCAGTTAAATTATGATACACTATATATTCACATTTTAGTGTCTTCTTGTCTTTTTTCTCCTTTTTTCTTCATGCTTCATTCTGTTTCCTTGCAACAAATTTTAAGTCATTAAATCTTTAGCCTTGCTTAATTTCCTCTTTCAAATATCCATTGAGTTTTTAAATTCAGTTATAATTTTAATTGACTTTGTCCTTTTTTAATAGTGTCAAGTTCTGTGCCATATTTCTCAATCCTGCCTTTTATCTCCCAGAACATATGAATGGT